GCAAACATTCACCTACCATTTATCAACGTCAAACATGGCTTATCATGTTAAATGCACAAAAAGCCCAATAATAGCCAATTAAACACTCATTCTACTATTGGAACAGAGTCCTTGCTGACTGTTGCTTTAATGGTATCATTAACTGGCGGCTTCCTGTGTGGTGTTGTAAAATTTAGATTTTTAAAGCTTATACTAGAGGTCTGTATCTCTGTAATTATGCATAGTGTTACCAAAGATATGTAATATCTCAAATAATTCAAGAGTTAACAGCAGTTTTAGATGCTCCCTATACATACAATTATAATTAATTTAATAAAAAAAATGAATGATGCATGGATAAACAGTTTAAAATGGATGGATGTTTAGATGAATGGATAGATGGCTATCATAAATGTGCATGAGTAGCTAACTACTTGTCAACAAGGCAAATTTGGTAAGGGGTGGCCCTACTTATATCAATACTTGATGGCCTAAACACTCAGTGGCTCAATCTAGTAACCTGACATGGAATGTAATTTTTACATAGCTGATAGTATGACAAGCTGAGTACCTGCTGAGAAAAACTGCAGGAGAAGTAGCCTAAGGCATAACAAGGGAATGTGCTGACGACTCCAGTGCACTGTTGAGCAATCTGAGTACAGTTTGAACATGTATTCAATGATTCTTCAAACTCTAGGTTTTTATGGTTACAAGGCACTGACCCATAATGTTTCAGCAGACAGTTGACACAGCACAAAAGTAGACACCTGAATCCGATAAATGATTATGATATAATCCTAGCTTTGACATGCATGGACAAACACAAAAACCAACAAATGATTTTCTCTTAAATTTACTGATGTGACAAAATAAATAAATAAATAAAAATTAATAATCCATGATATAACCATAAATTTTTATTGAAGGGTTTTAAGAGCTTGGTGGCCATCTAGCTGATACAACTGCTTACATCACATCTGATAAGCAAAACCAGTAAAGTGAGGACAAATGGCGTATATTTATATACATTTATCTTTCGTAGGCACTTCAATGAACAAGAGACTGACTAATTTGTAGTGCATAGCTTCACAGAGGTAAAACTCTCGTGTTTCTTACTTTGAGCCTTCAGGCTTAACACTAGCCAGGTGACTGTGATCCATCTACAGACTACAGCTTAGATAAAGAATAAAAGCTTTAGATCTTTAGCTGCCTTGGCATCATGCATGTCAGACTATTCTGAGGTTCTGTAATCCACACTAAACTGCCACAATGAACCCTACTCCAAAAAATCAAATGCTGCAGAGTAAAAAAAAAAAAAAAAAAAATGTAACACATTCCCATAAAGACTTTACCCTCAATCTGCCCACAGTGCTGCAAGTATGTCAAATATCCACCAAATACTCCTCAACCTGCCTCAAACTGACATATAGATATGGACAAAAACAAAATAGACTATGATCACTGCTGAAAAAGTCATTAGTGAAAATAAATGTCTGGCTATTAATAAAACAAAGTGCATCATTTTAAACTAAATAATTTAAGAACAAATAGGTGATTTATTACATTAAAAAAAGGTAAACTTTTTTTTTTCCGTTTGTCAAAAGGAAAAGAGATGTCATTAGAAGACACTCCATTCATTCTTAGTTAATTTGCTACCATGCACATTCTTATTGTTGTTTGTTTGTGTATATATATATATATATATAACAGGCAGAGAAAAATAAAGCGTGAGAAATTAGAGCATCAGTTACAATCAAAGAATAAAGGTTACTGCCATCATTGTTAAAAAAAAATCTATAACTAACATAAAAATAAACGTGTATACTTAATAAATATATGAATGCTGCTGCTCAGCTCATTTGGCTATACCTTGGAAATCAGTTCTCCTCATTCAGTCTGGTGCCAAAAGATTGCCCTACAGTTATAACTCTGCTATAATTACGATTTTAAAAACTGGGCAAAAATCAAGGATAAGCTATATACTACAACTGTAACAAAAAAGGAGCTGTCATCTATGTGTAGCCTAAATCTTTTTACAAAACACTGCTTACAGGTATAATACTTGTGATTTGGTGCCAGAAATATTTGCATGTCCTCTGTCTGCCAAGTTGTGTGCTTTTTCCAACATCTGAGAAGTGGCCAAGTGCAGCAATTATTCAGCAAAGGAAGAGAAAGACAGCAGAGATAAGCTGTCTTGCATGGGAAGATCTGCTCTCTCATGACACAGAGCCCTAGGAGCTTATCCTACATGTGCACAACAGGAAGCCAAAGCGAGTTCACCGCACACGAACACACGCGCGCATGCATGCATCAAAACCACGGCCTAATAAGATCCACGACATTACTATTGCAACTACAAAAAGCTCACTAAAGCAAACATTACTAATGGATTGCGCTAATTGAAGCCAGTCATGTATTTACGGTGACAGTTCAGTGAACCGCTGGACAGCTGTCACCTCGTATTTTTATTCAGCTGCAGTAACACAAAAGCTGATATCTGACAGCAAGTGAGCCTTAATGTGGAACATCAAAAGATCGAGGGAGACATAACCGTAGATCATCACAGTGACAGTGGACGGTCTGACTCACCGAGTGGTTGACTCCCCACATAACCACGCTCAGCAGAGGGTCGCTGGCACGGAAGAGCTTCACTTTTTGGGCAACGAAGTGTTTTTTCTTGGTCTTGGTTTTGCTCGCAATGGATGCGGCAATGCTGCTCGCCGAAGCCATCTTTAAGAAAACTGGCTGGTTTATTGCAGACTGTGCGATAATCCCGACAGCGTGTCTTCCCTTGAAGCTGGCACAGCGGCCACCAGCTCACGGTTCAGCAGTGTCAGTACTATTCATTTAGCCATCCCAGCAAACCAAGGTGCCCCGATTCTTTTCCTCATCTAAAGTCCCACAGAGCTCGGCTGTCGCTGTGGCCCTAGCTCGAAAGAAACTAACGTGAGGAAATACGAAGCGTTTAGCCTAATACTGCTTGCTCTTCTTCACTTAACCGTCATACGCTTCTCCGCCAGCCCACATCATAAGTCACTACTCTTCCTTCCTTAACTCTCGACTGGAGCTCTCTGCACCTCCTGCGATGTAAAGTCTCACCGAGGTAGCGTTAGCATAGCCGAGAATAGCTTGTTAGCTAGCAAACATCAAAGCTAAATTTCGTAAAAACAGTAAACGTACGGAGGATGAACAATTGTTAAGCCCCCGTGGCAAATGACCCACAGAACACGCGCTTGTTTTTTTAAATATAAAAAAATAGCACATTAGAGATGCTGAAGGGTAGCTAGACGCTTAGAATTACCAGCTAATATGAGCCTCCCCGACCTTCTCTAACCAAATGACGGCAAGAAGCAGAAGCGGACTCCGTTCACCAGCTATCGAGCCTGCAAGCTAACTACTGCCATTAGCCAGCTGCTCGGCGACTAGCGAGCGGCTCAGCCCTCTTCCTACGCGTTTGTACTTAGTCCACAGAGATGACAGGGCGTGTATCCTGTGGTGTCTTTGCCCGGTTTAAATGAAAACATTGAGGAGCAAATATTTCGACGTTACAAGAATATCAACGTTTGGTCCACTCCCGCAGCGTTGATGTTCATGTGCGCTGCAACTGACAGCTCGGCGGATGGGAGGTGACGGGCTGAGCTTTGCAGTGTCTCCTGTTCTGATTCGCTACTACTCCTGCCCTCCACTACCGGGCCCATGATACCTTTCTGTTGTATTTTAATAGCGCAAGAGCCTTTCTATATTAGTCTATATTTGGCATTTGGATTTACCCTTCTTGTCAGCAACAAAAATGTTATAACTGAATGAAAACTATACACTTTTTCAGTGAGGCTGCCCTACATGACAGTTTTCTTCACCCACCCCCGTTTTTTGCAGCCTCTATAATAGTAATGGATTAGCAGAGACGTGCACCATCCAAGTCAATCCCTACTTGGTGTAGATCTGTAGATACGATTATATATATATATATATATATATATATATATATATATATATATATATATATATATATATCCACCCACACCATCAGAGATAATGTCTTTGGAGGTCATTTGGTCCTCAGGTGCATACTATGCTGTTTCCACTGGCACAATGCTGTGTCAGTGCCTCTGTAAAAGCAGGAGGCTTCAATGTGCTGATGCGGTATAGAGCTCATTTGTTTTATGGCTCACCCTTCACGGCAGCGCATTTCTTTTCATATTGACTGAGCTCTATTTATATTGACTGAGCTCTATTTATATTGAATAAAAATATATGTAACTATATATATATATATTCATGATAATTTAATGATGGAATGTGCTTTCTTCCAAACTTCAGTGTAATTCAATGAACAGATTCAAGGACATCTGAAGAGCTTTCCAAATCTTAGTAGTTCTCAAAAGTAAACTACACAGTTAATTAGAAAACAGCACAGAACCTTTAGTTGTCTGGTTCACCCCTCCATAGGTCATGCAAGTTGTGTTTTCAATAAATAAAATAATGTAATAGACACTTATACATCTAATTGCCAGACTGTTCTGTTGTCCTTTAAAGATTTAGACCCCAATCCATTGAGCTCCAGTTCATTTTACATGCACTTTTTGATGGCTACTGACACATTTGCTACAATGTCCCAATGATGATTTTGGTGGTATTATTCACAACCTCTTCATCTGACCTCACGCTCACTCAACATAAACTTGTGCCCCCCTCGTTGTTACCCAGGATTTATTCTACCAGTTTGTGTAAATCTGTGTGTGATATGTTCAAAAACACACAAACAACATAGCTAATACCTGCCTTTTTTGTGTCTCTCAGCATTTCCTTCATGGACTATACTGTTTTTTTTTCTTTTTACTTTACTTGGATAAATAACCACCCAATATATTTTTGTTCCAAGTCCCGATTACATAAATACATTGTCAGTGTTTCCGAAGTAAACTGCTAAGACAATAGGAGCCATAACCTTTTGCAATAGGTTAAAATAACGATTGTTTAGACCATTATTTAGTTCCACATGGCACCCGTTGCCTGGCAACGTTGCGTCAACCTCCTTTTCCAAAACACAGTACGGTGAGGTTATTGTTGTCGGTTTAAAACCTCGAAGTTGCCTCTTGGTCTGGAAAGAAAACGTAAGTCGTGGTTCATTTTTGAGATAGTAATTAGAGAGCTTGCCATATGCCTGTTTTGTAAGCTTAATCTGTCGACAGTGCTACTGAGGAGTGGCATAGTAGCATAACTAGCTAGCTAGCTTTATGGGTTCACAGAGTTGAACGCATTGAACCGTTGGACACCCATCTCTCATCAATATTGCTCCTCTTTAGGCCATAATATGGGAAAGAAGTCGAGGAACGAGAGGGAAACGCCAATCAAGGAAACGGTGAGTGACGAATGTTTCTTTAGGTCTGTGAAGGTTCTCACCTAATGTTTCTTTAGGTGTTGGCAAAACCTAATTAATGCATTTTTGAACCTTTGACAAGGTTTAATTCATGTCCACTGAAACACATCCATACCATGAACACAGCCTACTGTACATCCCGGGAACATATCAATTAGAAAGCATGCACAACTCTCTGATTGGAACTACTACTATGGAACTTGATTCATTGGGGCTTGGCATCAAAGGTCATTAAGGTTGATATACAAGCAGGTATTTGTGTCAACAAATCATGATTATTCTAACTACACAAAAAATAATGAATGAAATTTGAATTTGCTTTAGTACATATCAAATGCTCTGATTGACACATCAAAAACATTGACTGATAGTAAATATTATATTTGTGATGAGGTAAGAATGATCAGTTTCATGTGTGGTGAAACATCCCCTTAACCAGTGGATAATAACACTAACACTAACTAACTTCAGACACTAACAGTCTGGAGAAAGCTAAAGAGGGAGTGTGAAACTCAAAGGGAAAAAATAGATGTCATGCTCAAAAGTGTGTCCATTTGCCACTACAATAAAAAAGTCTTTGACTTCATTCTAGATGATGAAGTTTTCTGATGTTCTGATGATAAAAATGTACTTTGAAATTGTGGCTTGGTCTTTAGTAGGCCTTGGGCACAAAATTGTTTGAAAACGGCATCAGGATATCATATGCATGTACATGTTCTCAGGTTGTTGCCTGTTGGTACATGCTGGGCATTGAGATATGTCCTGTCTCATTGTCCTAGAAGTATGAAAGTCAAAAAGACAGACCTGACTTTATACATGTTCTATATTTCAGTTATTTATTTTATATTTTGCAAACACTCCTTCTCCCTGTTGACTCTCACAGTTTGAGCCGCTATCCCTTGAGAGCAAAGCCCCAGCAACAGTAGTGCTGCTGTTGAACTCCCCAGAGGAGGACATTTTAATCAAAGCGTGTGAAGCGATCCAGACATTTGCAGAGAAAGGTATGGTAGGGTACCCACCGCTAACCCTTCCACATATTATTGATTGTTTTTATTTCTATGGGCAACCTTGCAGCTGAATAGCAGAAAATCCTGTCTTAATTTTGCTTTCAGGCTGATGTTTTGTAATGGTGTATTTTTTTGATATGCATTTTTTAAATCCAGAAATTGCAACATTTGCAATTCACTTCATCACCATCTGCCTAATTTTCCTGTTCACTGTCTCCCCCTGTTGTTAGGAGATGAGAACAAGGTTTCTCTGCTGGGACTTGGGGCATTAGCGCCTCTCTGCCAACTCATTACTCACAACAACAAGCTGGTCAGACGCAATGCCTTCATGGTCTTGGGCATCATGGCCACCAATGGTGCGTCAGACCAGTTACGTCATTGATGCAGATTCGACTGCAGTGGACTTGGTAGCTTACAAGCTCATGCGACAGTCTTGATTCTACAAATGACCCTTTAGTTTACCGGCCATCTATGTGTTTGTCAGGAATTTGCATCTGTTAATCTACCAGATGTTGGATTCCCTGTTCTGTTGATTTAACAATGAGCAAGGTGCTAGCCTTACTGAGTAACTGAGTAGTGTCTCTTGTTTAAATCTGAAAGGTGATGTAAGGACTGCGTTGAAAAAATTAGATGCCATTCCATCAATTATTGAAAAACTATCACTCGAAGGTGAGTAATAGATATTAGAAGATTAAGATATATTTTGATCACTAAAGGAAACAGTGTCACTTTGTATAAGTTGCATACAATCAAAATAGAGCACATGTGTTTACTTATGGCAGTAGGCAGTATTTCTGTGATCAATCCTTATTTATTTCTGTTTCTTTTCATATAATCAAATTCCATTTTTGTTCAAGATGATACAGTTGTCCACGAGTTTGCAACACTGTGCCTGGCTTCTTTGTCAGAGGATTTCCTCTGTAAGGCCCAGATCTTTGACAACAAGGGGCTGCCAACTCTAATTCAGCTGCTGTCTAGTTCTGACCCAGATGTCAAGAAGAATTCACTAGAGACCATCTCCAACCTAGTACAGGTGACCCAAAGTCATCAGGCTTTAGGATGTAATTTTCTGTAAAAATTATAAGGATTTTCACTGTGAAAAATTAACGTGATGTTTTATAGTCCTAAAAGACGATAAAGTTGTCTTCACATACCGTATTTACTGAACCCCTGAACTTTTCTAGATATAACATTACAGGGGTACATGTGACAGTGCAGATGTTTAATGCTGTAGAATGTGTTTAACTTGTCAGCTCTGCAAGGGAAAGTATTTATTGTGTCCAATTTCATCTATGTGATAATAGTGCAGGTAATAACTCTGGTGTCAGTGGTCACACTGTGTTCTGCCTCCCTCCTGCTCTACTAAGGCAGCACTGCTGCCAAACCTAAAGTATTTCTTAGCAATGAGAATGCAGTTAATGCGAACTGTTTCCTGCTGTGCGCTACGTGTGAGAAAGAGCAACTTCACAAAGTCCTGACCTATTTCTCCCAACATTTACAGATTTCATGAGTGAAAACAGCTTCAAATTTGCTCCTAGGATTGTTGAAAAAAATGCTTTCAACATTTCTGTGAACCTTTTGCAACCTTTGCTGTTTTGTCCCCATGAAGGACTACAAAAGCCGACTGGTGGTACACGAATTAGGTGGGATCCCTCCACTTCTGCAGCTCTTAAATTCGGAATTCCCTGTCATTCAGCATTTGGCTTTAAAGACGTTGCAACATGTCACTACTGACAGAGATGCAAACAAGACCTTCAGGGACAAGCAGGGATTTGAGAAGCTTATGGGTATCCTGAATAATGTGGTAGGTATATGGTTTAGGTAATATATGTCTTTATTCTGCTGGTTTGTGTTAATAAGAATAAAATAATAGAGAATCCTTTAAAATCTGTGTCCTCTGGACCTATCTTTTTATTTCTCACAGAACGTCAGTGACCTACATGCTGAGGCCTTACATGTCCTGGCTAACTGCTTGAGTGACAGTGAAAGTGTCCAACTCATTCACAAGAGTGGAGGACTGACCAAGTTGATGGAATTTGTCCTCACTCCCAGTGTGCCTGAAATCCGGTCAGGTGTTATTAAATGCATCACCAGGGTGGCTCAGAGCTGTAAGCACAGAAGGCAATTAGAGACAACAGATTTCTTTCAACTTTCCCACATAATTTACTCTATTTTATTTATTCTGTTATGTGTGTGTGTATGCGGGTGCTTGCCTGTGTGTTTAGCTGAGAGCTGCAAAGTGCTTCACGAGCAGGATGTGGAGACCGTTCTTGTTGAGCTTCTGTCCTTGGAGAACATTGGTGTGATGACGTCTGCCTGTCAGGCTGTGGCTGCCTTGACCTTTCACCTAAACAGCAAAGAACGCTTCAGAGAACTTGGCACGTACATCTTCACCAAGCCACCCTGAGATTAGGTGCAGTCAGCACAACAAAGTGTAATTGAGTTGGATTCCTTTGTGTTTCAGGTTGTATCAGTGTCCTGGTTCAACTGCTGAGCAGGGAGAGTTTGGCACTGAGAGAGGCGGCAACCCAGGCCCTCTCTAACCTCACTCATAACAGCGAGTCAAATGCCTTGTGAGTAACGAAGGACTTTGATGTCTTACCTATACCTCATTGTTTTTGTACAGATATATGCACTTTTTTTTAACAATTCAAAATGTATGGAATTATGTATAAAAACATCTACAAAGAACAAGGCAGTTTAAAGACACAGAATAAGGCATATGAGACAATTTGTATGATAAGTTACTGGGTAGTATTTATTTGTCAGACATCCAGTACATACTGTCTGGTTCATATCGATCATTCAGATGTGCTAGGACACCCCTGTCCCCAAGAAGACAAAGTATTGGTGACCTGGGCAAATCATACTTCAACCCTTGGCCCATATAATCCCAAACATCTCTCAGAAAAGGAAGAAGTTCTGAAAATTCCCATAATGCATGCACATAAGTGCCCGTTTTTGTCTTTTATGTCCAGCATGAAGCATCCAAATATGATTTTTTTGTAAACTTCTAGACCCTTTCAGTTGTTTTCCCATTATTAGCTACATAAAATCTGAATGACTTCAGGGATTTAAAGGTGTGTGTTCTACTCTGGACTAGAATGCTGTCCTCCCCTTTTTTCATAAAAATAAGACACGGAATCTCTTTACTTCTTTTCCATTGTCTTCTCCAATCTTGTCTTATACATTTTTTTTTCCAGACAAGTCTTCTTCGAACTCTCGAACCCACGCATTGTATGCTTGGAAATAATATGCTTTAACAACGTATAAATTTGTAAAACTACAGTAATTGTCAGCCATCTAACTTTTCATTAAACCTCCCTCCCTGTTTATTGTATTTTCCAGTGAAGTGTATGAGGAAGGTGGCGACAAGCTCCTCATACAGCAGCTGTATCAAAGCTGTCCAAAGATAGTGGCCAATTCTGCTGCCACACTTTGCAACATGGCAGAACATGAGATCATCCGCTGTAGCATCTTGTCACATGGAGCCATACAGGCTCTGTTGGAACCCTTGAAATCTACAGTTACACAAGTCCTGGTAAACACTGCACGTTGCCTGGCAGTGCTGGCCAGTGATGAAGAAGCTAGGACAGAGGTTGGTGTTTATGTGACCTCAGAATGCTGGCTTGTTCTCATGTTCAGTAATAATAAATAATGATCATTGTTTTTAATCATTGCTGTAAACTTTACTCAAGACAGCAGGATTATTGTAAACAGCATTCGGTTTCACTTTGTGATACTACATTTGAAATTCTTTCACTAAATAACTAATACTCAACCCAAGCTAGTCAGAGTTGGAGGTCTTCAGCTTCTGGTCAATCTACTGCAGTCTCACTCCAAGGAGGTGCTTCACATTGCATGCTTGGCAGTGAATGTCTGTGCCAGTGATGAGCCAACTGCTGTGGAGATGTGCAAATTTGGGTAAGACGTGATAGATAACACTGTCATTAGAGCATGACTGATGTGTCACCAAATAAATGACTGGCGAGTAAAATAAATGCAATATCTGCATAGATATTGCTTAATGTGATCCCCTAAATAACCAACAGATGGCAGTGCAAGACAATATTAGATGTGACTACATGTGCCTTTGTTCATTTGTCCATTTTTATATTTATTAGTAATGACAGAATATTTTTCTTTTCTTTCTTTCTTTTGGTCTATGCTTGTTGTTTCTATCTGTGTCTCAGAGCCCTGGAAATACTTCAGGAAATCAACCAGTCAAAGACCCGTAGGAACAGTTTCAGTGAGTTGGCTGTGAACAGCCTACTTAACTCCAACTTGTCTTTTAAATACAGCCTGACAAGTTCTTTGGCCTCCACTGACATCATCACCTGTGGCTTCTACGATGCTGGAAAGGTATGCTGTCAGAAGTCCTTTCAAGGACTTTTTAATGCAATCTTAGTAACATAGCATTAGTTGGTTGTTGTTTTTTTGTTATTGGCAGTCTTTCACAAGAATGCAGCATGACTTTTCACATAATAATTAAAATGCAACTCTTGTGTTTTCCCTCAGGCTCGCCCTGGTCAGAGGATGCTGACTTTAGAGGAACTGTCCAAGCAACCGGTTAACCAGCGGCAAGCCATTATTTTTGTCAACAAAGCAACAGTATTGCCAGAGTACGAATCTAATATTAGAGTATGGTTTGATAGTTTAAAAGGAGAAATATAAACTACATTATTTTAATGCTTGTGCTTAAAAGACACCAATTGTTTTAAGAAGCATGCTTTATTATTACATTCTTTTAGTTTAGATAGATGTTTCGAGGACAAATGGAAGGTATACTGTATGTAATAGCCCTCTAAACAGTTACAGCTGACTCCTCCCACCTGGTAATAAAAGTAAATTAACCAGAACAATTACAGAAATTGACTGGGACCATTAGGTTCCTGCACTAGAAGTCACAACATGTTGTTTGCTCAGAAAATTTATTGTGGCTGTTAGATTACAATCACCCTCCCCTTCTCTGCTCCAGTCCTGTGCTCTATTCTTCCTTCGTTCCCTTTCCTCCTCCCATTCTCCCCCACTATGCCTGTAGCATAATTAGTGTGGCAGTGTACGGTAGCCCTTCTTTAGGGTGGCGACACACTCAGAGGGCTTCTTGTGATTCAAATAATGGACTTCTGAGCTTGCACCCAAAATCACAAATGTGCAAAAGCACAAAGAGACATGCAATACCCATGCGTGTTCACTGAGCCACATAAAGCATGCACGCAATGAAAAAACACATCTTAGATGTTTAAGGCTGTATATGCATGCACTGTTTAATGCTTTCAGCATTTTCATAAATTAACTTTGGAAAAGAGAGCAGTACCCCCTTCAGGGTACCTCTGTTCAGCCCTTCACCCCTCCCAGACCCCCATTCCACCAGCACGAATTTACACGTAACACTTCAGGCATTCTTAAACAGCCTGTTATGTAACTGATTCCTGGTCTCATCCATAGCTTCTGCATGAGCCAAATTTCAAAGCAAAAGGCCTCATGATTGAATTTATTTTCTGACTTATTCTTCTGTGTTCCTATAAACCAATTAACGGATGTTTTTTGTTAGCAGGGAGACAGTAGATGTGCCAGAAGAGACACAGAACAAGCCATCAGAGTCAGACGGCAGAGTCAGAGGAGAGCGTAAAACACCAAAGTGAGTGTGTTTGCTAAGTAGTACAACAAGTAATACCACTAACATCAGAGGTTCTGGAGACAAAAATCTTTTTTGTCCAAACCCTTTTTGGCCACAGCTATGATTATTATTGTTATTATGATGATTATTATACATTGACACTCTTTTTGACACATGCTAAACAGGAAGTTGTGCCAAAAATAATCCCATTTCAAGACAGTATTAAAAGATGCTACCTTTTCCTACATGAAAATGTAGCTACATAAATGCTGCATGCTAAAAAAAATCATGGAGAGAGGCAGAATATCAAACAAAAATCCAGAAAAAAATAATTTCATACAAGTTATAAATTGATTTGCAAGTTATTGAGTGAAATAGATATTATATCCCCAAGACAAACCTGATTTAGTTCTTGGCAATGTCCCTTAAGCCCAATTTTTCCTGTAGCCTTGGCAGAAAAACAGTCACAAAGAGTAATGGTTCCACAATATATGTGCAAAGATTTATAAAATACAGTGCTGTGTGTTCATATAAACCATTTTGTTGATGTCCTTTGGTTGCAGGGTGACAGTAGATGTGCGAGAAGAAACACAGAGCAAGCCATCAGAGTCAGAAAGCAGAGTTAAAGGAGACCGTAAGACACCAAAGTGAGTGTGCTTGTTAATGTGGAGGCTCAACATAAGCAGTACCACTAACATTGAGCACGAAATGTGAAATGAATTAAAAGAGGTCATAAAGGTGGAATTTTAAGTACCGTAGTGATTTTCTTTCCTTGTAAGATACTGACAGAATTCTTTTCTAATTTACTCTTTTTTTGTACAGGAAGAAGAAGGAAGAGGAACAGAAAGATTATGGCCTCATGTACTCTATTATTATTATTATTATTATTATTATTATTATTATTACTAAAGTTTGTGTGTGTTCAAATACATCCCTGTGCTGTATTCATATACCTTTTATGGAAACTGTCTAAACATTTTAGAGATGATAACAATCTCTGACGCATGCTAAAGACGATATAGTGCCAAAAACATTGACATTTAAAAAAATATTGAAAGATCTTGCGTTAGTGATAATGATTAGATCTTGTAATGATATGTTCTCTTGATTATATGTATATAAAATCAGATAACATGAAGGAGATCGTTAGACACTAAAAAGAGTGTGCCTGTTAATATGAAGGATGAGCATAAAGCAGTGTCACTAACATGGATCCTGTGATGTGAAATGTGTGATAGAGTTCACAAAGGTGGAATATTAAGTAGTGATTTTCTTTCTTATTTTAACGCACTGACTCCCCTGATTTCTTTTCTAATTTATTGTTTCTTCAGGAAGAAGAAGGAAGAAAAACAGAAAGATTATCTTCAGCCTGAGTCTCCTGTAGAGAAACCACGGGGAATGATGGAGGATGTCTCATTGCAGATTCTAATAAAAATTGCCAAAGAATACATCTTTCCACTGAATGATGAAAAAGAGCAGTGTGAATCCTTAGCCAGGTAACGTATTCATGCAGAAACTGGCATGCAAAGAGAGAGCGAAGTAACTTATCAGCAGCTATTGTTTAAAACAAATCTCTGGAGTCATGGAAACACATTAAAATGACATTTACACACCAACTCTTAAAATGTCAGGAGAGCTGACTAAAAATGACAGCAGTGGTATGCAATGCAGACACTCTGCTAACACACTGAAATACAATACCCTGAGAGATCAGAATGGAAAACAAAGACTTTATTTTAAAGGTTTCTGCATTTTCTTTGGTTGGGTTTGCTCTTATTTTCAGGCTGGTGAGCGAAGCCATGGGGGGAGCAGTGGAGAAGGAAAAGATGCACGAGTTTTCTTGGATTCTGCACCTCAGTGAGCTGAAGATTCAACTTCAGTCTAATGTTATTCCCATTGGTTTCATCAAAAAGGGAATCTATTATCACAGGGCACTCCTGTTCAAGGTACAGATTCTTTACCCGCATGGTAGCATTAGCATGAGCGGCTATGTTCATCATCTTTCCTAATATTTTTTATTCCTGACCAACATGTTTTGACATCCCAATTTAAGCTCTGTCTCTTTAAGGTCTTCTCCATAATATTTGTTCCTCAGCCTATTTCTCAGTCTGACATTCTTCTGTCTCCTCTTTTAGTCACTGGCTGATTGCATTGGACTGAGCTGCACACTTGTTAGGGGAGACTACAACCGTGCTTGGAATGAGGTTCTCCTTTTCAGTAGAAATTCCTCCAACAAGCTGCACTCTTCACAGCCCTGCCGCTACATAGTAGACCTTGTGCACCAACCTGGAAACCTGTTTCCAGTCAATAGCCCAGCTGCAGTCCAATATCAAACTATATAATCAGTACTGTATTGTTTAAATACCACAGAAGGTAACGCTTTGACGTTATATTTTGTCTGATGTGCATCAACCGATTTATATGTAATGTGTGTTTATGTGTACATGATGTGTGCATGGCGGACCTCATCAGTTGACTATTTTTTTTTCTACATATGCATAAGGAAAGCAAAATCGTGTCTATTGTGGTGTTTCTCTATTAAACACAGTGATTCAACCTTTGTACTTCAGCATGGGTCCAACATGGTGAAGCAGTGTTTTTGCCAACGTGCAAGCTGTAGTTGTTTAGAAAGTTAATGCTTCAGCTGGAGAATTGAAAATATCTCTTACAGCTTCATGGCACCATCACCAGCCTGGAGCTTTGGATCCATGCTTTTATGTTTTTGAACCTACCAGAAAGATTTCATAGTAGAAATTTATACTCACCAGACCAGGCATCGTTTTTCCAATTTTATAATTGTCCAATTTTGGTGAGCCTGTGTGAACTGTAGACGTACATTCCTGTTCTGCATCTGCTCCTGTATCCCATCTGCTCCAGGGTCTGAAGTGTTTTGTATTCAGAGATGCTCTTCTGCATGCCTTGGCTGTATGAGTGGGCATTGGAGTTACTGTTACCTTCCTATCAGCTTGAAGCAGTCTGGTCATTCTCCTCTGACCTCTGGCATCATAAAGCATTTTCACCCAAAGAACTGCTGCACACTGGATATTTTCTTTGTTTGTGCTATTGTCTGTAAACACTAGAGATGGTTTTCGGGGAAAATCCCGGAAGATCAGCAGTTTGTGAAATATTCATACCAGCCCATCTGGCACAAACAACTAAGGCAATGTGATTTTAGGCACTTAAATCACATTTCTTCTTTTCTTTCTTCTTTCTTATGCTCAATTTGAACTTCAGCAGGTTGTTTTGATCATGTATTTGATCATGAGTAGTTACCATCTGATAACTCATCCGATTTTTGCCTTAAGGAACAGTTGAACAGGTTATTATTATTATTGGTTGTGTGATCGTGGCTCAAGAGTTGGGAGTTTGCCTTGTAATCGGAAGGTTGCCGGTTTGAGCCCTGGCTTGGACAGTCTCGGTCATTGTGTCCTTTGGCAAGATACTTCACCCGTTGCCAGTGTCCGCCAGCCTCGCCTCTGTCAGTGCGCCCCAGGGTGGCTGTAACTACAATGTAGCTTGCCATCACCAGTGTGTGAATGGGTGGATGACTGAATGTGTTAAGCGCTTTGGGGTCCTTAGGGACTATACAAGTACAGGCCTTTTACCATTTATTATTATTAATAATAACAATAACAATTAGTATTCAAATAGACACCTGCAAAGATGGTTGTGAACAGCAGATAGATGTGGCAATCCCAGCGGACACCAGTACTAGGAAGAAATGGCACAACTGACATCACAAACTAAGGCTGAAGGAACAACTGGAGCAGGTGTGAAAGGAAAAGGCTAAAGTAGTCACAGTGGAAATGGAAACACTAAGTGTTGTAATCCCAAAACCGGAAGAGTAGCTCCAACAGATACCAAGCACAACATCAGAGGTCTTTGTGCCGAAGAGTGCAGTCCAGGAGCAACCACGATATTGTGCAGAACCTTCAAAGTCCCCTCAAGTGGACCCGAGCCTGAGGATTGTATTTATACCACCTCTCAGGAGATGAGGTGGAGATTTTATATACATGTGTATATGGACTTTGTGTAATAGACTGGCAAATAGCCAATATAGCTATTAACTAAAGCAAAGCATACAGGAACAGGTTAAATAAATAACAATTAATGCTAGAGAAATCCTTTCATGTTTCATGTCTCTAAAAGAATTAAATAAATAAATAAATATGGCTTACCTATTTGAATGTCATATTTTTAAATCAACAAATATCTCTGTATCAGTCTTAAAAAAAATCTAAAATCTAATCTTAGATTTTTTTTATTTTAATTTTTTGATCCACTCCCATTCAGCAGCGCTTACTGCGCTCTTTGCACAGTGCTGGCAATAAAATACGACTGAACTCCATCCACTTTGACCTTTGTAGCTTCAGTTGTGTTTTGTGACCGTGTAACCCCGCTAACAGCCCGGATAAGCCGAGCGAGGACCAGCCCAAACTCGCCGCGGCGTGAAAAATCTCGATGGGGCAAGTTTGCTTGGCTCCACTGAAAGCTGCACTTTAGTCGCACTTGACTCCACTGGAGCAAACATGTCTCGTTTCGTCCGCCGGATTGTCGCTGTTGCCTCTCAACACGCCACAGCCAGAGCTGCAGAGTTACCGAGGAGGATCCCCGGCATAATCCGTCCCGTGTCCACATGTCAAGGTACCGTGAGCGAACTTCTGATTTATATCAGCGCTGTACTTGAGCTGCAGCTCGCTGCACCATCATGCACGAATGTTTACTATTAGAGGTTCTACATCTCTGTTTGAAAGAGTATTTCAGAAGTTAAGTGGAAATTCTTTGAGATTAGAATGTTTATATTTTAGTCTTAGTTATTCTTTAAGAATATATTTCCAAGCAGCCTCACTTTCTCAGCTTTAAAGTTTTCAGAGTCTGTATTATTAATGGTAATGTGATCAGATAAGAAAATGCATGAATTACAGGAAACTCTGCCACAAATGTGGCTTTAATGATTCACTTTAAATATGCATATCTAAAATGTGTGACCTTTGCTCTGTGCAGGCCTGCAGTCCCTCACACGTTACAGTGAGACTACAGACTGGCATAAAAAACTGACCCCAGAGCAGTATGTAGTCACCAGAGAGAAAGGAACTGAGGAGGTGAGTCCAGTGTATGAAAAAAACAAAAAACAATATAATTATTATGTAACCTAATGCCAAAGAAGCTTTGTGTTCAGAATTAATAAGTGGAAGGTTACACATGCACATAAGCACACCAGCAGAGTGACATACATTATCTCATCAACAGCAGCACATTCTCAGGTGGACTTTGATCTGCTCTGTATCACAACGACACACTTTTACTACATTATGAATTAAATACAGCCCGAAAAATGAAACGCAGAGATATTTCATCTTGTTATAACAGGACTAAGGACAAGTCATTGTATACACTTGCAAAACCAGGGTGCTGAAGAACACACAGGTAGTGAAATGAGCTGTATTTCTGCTCCTTACATTGTGATCTGGTGTGTGTGTGTGTGTGTATTTGTGGATGTTCTCAGCCCTTTAGTGGGATCTACCTGAACCATTTTGAAATGGGGATGTATCACTGTGTCTGCTGTGACGCTCCACTCTTCAGGTAATACATCTAACCAGTAAAGGGGTATGCACATTTTCTGGACTGGACCATAATCTTTTATTAAAACTCTGAAAAATGAGGGCTTACTGGTATAAGATGATTTTGCTGTTTGCTCATTTTTAAAAAAAAATCAGCAGATGTTTACTAAATTCTTCCTTCCTCTCTTCATAGCTCCGAGGCTAAGTACAACTCCGGGACAGGCTGGCCAGCATTCAATGAGGCTCACGGGACATGGGAGGGTGATGAAAGCCACACCTCCATCATTCGGCGCCCTGACAACAGCCTGGGCAGCCCTGGGACAGAAGTCCTTTGTAAAAATGTGAGTTGTGCTAGGAACCAAAAGAAGCCAAGGTTTCATTCAGTTTAGCTGTGATACTTGTTGTTTGTGCTATAAAGCAGAGGTTAAAGTAAAAAAAAAAAAGTGCACAAACGTCTGACTTTTTTGTGTTTCTGTATCTGGGTCACACAGTGCGATGCCCACCTTGGCCACGTGTTTGATGATGGACCAGACCCAACAGGACAGCGCTTCTGCATCAACAGTGTTGCCCTCACATTTAAAACCAGAGAAAACGACAAACCTGATGAGGATGAGTGTAACTGATGGACTCTTCATCAAAACATTAAAAAAAAAAAACAGGACCAGTTTAAAGAACTTCCCTTTTGTTTTTTGTGGGGGGGTTTAAAGTGAAAAGCTATGTGATGTGAAGTGGGATGAATTGTGGGTTAAACTGGAGGTGAATTGAAACCAGTTTTATATTGCATATATTAATGGATATATGGACTGGAGAGATGTCTACACAGGACAGGACTACAGGACTCACAGTAAATCATTTTTCTTCTCCAATAATCTTTTTTCTGTTCTCTCTTCGTCACTGGTGTTTACTGTTTACTAATGTTTGTTAAGTATTTTGCCTTAACTGTCATCTGAATGAAGGTCTTCTCATATGAGCCACTTGGAACATATGTGTAGGATATGTGAAGCCATTAATGCCAAATTTTTAAAAAAGTGTTTTTAACAGCATTGTAATGTTTAGCATATTTTCATATCTGGAAAAAACAGTCAAAAAATTGTTGTTCTGCAGGATTGCAAAAACATTGCTGTGTTTTTGGTTTGTAATCTGAAGTTGCGTGTACATATCCAGCTGAAGTCTTTGATCGCAATCACGCAAACATGACCGATCCTCCCCCCCCCAAATAAATTCACGTCTAAATCCGGCGCTGTGCTGCGATGACCCCCGATGTTTGCCCGTAATTTATTGCCGCCTCTTGTTGTTCAGAAGTGCACACCACAGCACTTTAGTATGGCCTCATCTCTACCATGAAGTTAATATTTAACTCAGCAGGCCATCCTCTGTTTCACACTGTTTGTCTCTGGGTCTCTGTTTGCTTATCCATATCTTCTGGGTATATGTGTTGCAAGTTGAGTAAAGCAGAAAGAGAACAGCTGAAGGGAGAAACAGAGCAGGGTGGACAGAAAACCTATAAAACAAAAACAAGAATTGTTTGTCAGCGATACAATGGCTGGACTATGGCGATGCATACTTGCAGTGGTGATGTTGATGTGCGTGTACCTCTGGGATTCTGCTGAGGCTGTAGGTGGAGCTAAGAGTCGACCCCGACCCCAAAGACGACCTCCCAAGAAGCCAAAGATCACACCTATTGACCAGACCCAACCCGAACAAGACATAGACATAGAAAGGGTAAGAAATAAGATAAAGAAGCGGAATATTTTCACTACTGCTGCATTGGGCCCTGGCTGCTCAATTCAATTTATATAGTGCCAAATAACATCAGCAGTACTTGGTCTTTTTCTTTTTTTAGTTTATCTTTTTAACCTTCTGCTGAAGACAGTGAGATTCATGAAAAAGCTGCAACTGCCAAGAGACCGACTGTTTCCAGGCAGTTGCAGACGTCGCCAACACAGCAGACAGCTCTGTGTGCTGTTATTTTACCTCTGAACACTGTTTTTTTGATTGTTGTACCGTG